TATTCCCTTCACTTCTGAAAATAGCTCCTTAGCACATCTACTCATCACATGTCTCTTTGCTACCAGTGCATCACGTTACAGCTCCTTGGGGCTTGGAGGCAAACCTGTGCACACAAGCCTTTCTCCCCCTGTGCCCCTTGTCTTACATTCCCAGGAGGATAGGCTCCAGCAGAAATCCTCATTAGCCCCCAAAGCACACGATGCTGTTACTCCATACACCAAATTTTACCTCACTTCTGTGTTTTGACTCTTTCACTTTTTTTCTGGGACACCATCCCATTCTCCTCCACATTGGAAATGTGCCCCAGCTGTTTACCAGTGCAGAACTTCATCAGCACATGCATCCTGTACTGGGGCCACTGGTTAAATATGGTCCCCAGGACCCATCCTTGGAGGTCTTCACCACCTTGGGCACATCCCTGCCAGCACTGTGTCTCCTTCCTTACTGCCTTCTCCTCTCCAGTGCTGGGCATCAGGTGGAGGTGTCCTCACCACCTCCAGAGACAGCGAGGCAATACCTCACCCACCACCACAGTCGGCATGGCTGGTGTCTCCCAGTCCAGATTTCTGTCACCAGAGCCCATTCCTCTATCTCCTGCATTGTCTGCAATGGGCTACACCAGCAGCTGCGCTGAAACCAGCCAAAGGCTGGCCAGAAACCCAATGTAATTTTCTATTATTGCCTGTAGCTTTCATCAGAATCTGATTAGGAGCACATGGATGCCAGTATCAGATCCATTTAAGCTGGATGTAGCCAATATTAACGCAGTAAATCACATCATTAAAATCCAGCAATGCTATAATCCTTATGGAAAAGTACAGGAGCACACGGAAAGCCAAAACTTCTCTAACACACTATACTCCATCACTGACTACTGAGAAATGCTCATGTGCAGTCGCCAGAAGATGCTTCCTGGCCCAAAGGGGATTTTTGCCCCCATTTTCTTTCTCACTTTTCTTGCTTTTCCTTTCCTTCACTCAAGCCTGGGTAAGGAGCCATTGAGTTAGTGCCAGGATTTCTCACCTGATATGCTGCTGCTGAGTCGGCTGGAAGGGGAAGGGAAGGGAAGGGGAGGGGAAAGAAGGGGAAGGGAATATAGGCTGAGCAGCAAGAAAGAAGGCAGATCATGTGCTTTGTGCTGCCTGGCAAGCCCTGGGGCTGTTAACTTTATCAGGCTAATGTGATCTTGAAGGCTAAGGCTGGCAATAGCAGGGCTCACCATTGCTCAGCATGCTGTTCTGGCTGCGCAACAAGAGAGCTCCACTTAACCCTCTGTTACTGAGCATCTGCAGACCCCATCTCTGACAGTGTTCAAGGCCAGGTTGGATGGGGCTTTGAGCAACATTGTGGAAGGTGACCCTGCCTATTGCAGGGGGGGTAGAACTGGATGATCTTAATGACCTTTCCAACCCAAACCATTCTGTGATTCTATGCGGTGCTCTGACAATGGGCCCACCCTTCCAAGCAAGGTTTCTCTCTGCCCACTCAGGTGCTAAGTTAATTACAAGAAAACAAACAAAAAAACAAAACAGTTTTTCTAGGTTCTTGCATTATTTTCTGCTTCTGTAGACATGGTGCTTAGGGACACGGTTTAGTGATGGAGTTGGCAGTGTTAGGTTTATGGTTGGACTTGATGATCTTAAGGGTCTTTTCCAACTTGAAGAGATTCAAAATATTCATTGATATAAAGTCATTACCACATGCAAACCCATGGTTGGTATGTTCTGAAGGAGGGGAAGGCACAGCAGGTAGCCCACAACTAATCTGGACTCTAGGTGCCCTTGGTCTGTGGTATTAAGCACATCATCCAGCCTCTGCACCTTACATCCCCATGCAAAACATGGAGACAGTAACACACTGACAATGAGTCTCAGCTGAGAATTGTTGTTTCCTCTGTTCACTTTATGCATGGCAGTGACTTTGCAACTGGAGGAGCAGAAAGCATCTTTAAGCATATTTGTCATCAAACCTCAAACTTCCAATCTGCCTCCTAACGAAATTACCGTCTTGAATTTTCAGCTTCCCAGATCTTTCATCAAGCGTATTTCCAGCCTTCTGAAGCTGTCAGAGGACACTGGTAAATAGTCTTGTCTCCTTTAACACTGATATTCTTGCAGTTAAAAGAAGAGTATTAGCAAGGTTTATTATTTGAAAGGCAGGTGAACAGATGTGGTGGCTGGAAAGGTGGCCAGGAACATGGACTGGAGGCTAGTGCTTTACTGCCAAAACTACAGAACAGTTTCACTTCTCTCAATTAATTTCTCTTAGAGCTTTCTTAGGAGAAACACTCTTATACACATTTTTTTAGCTCAGAAGTGCTCTCATGTATGAGACAGCAAGGCCCAAGTCGTCTTCTTGGACCTGTTATTCAAACCCCTGAATTAGCAGCAACTGAATGAATCTCTAGTATTTATTTTCCTAGACAACAAAGCATTGCCTAGCCTTATCTACTTAGTTCCTTCTTTTACACGTCAGCAGTCTGTTCAGCTTGGCAATCAATCACTTTAAAAGTGCAAACATTCACCATCCTATGACTTACATGGATCTGTAGGAAGCATAGTTTGAAGCTTTTCTAATTTTAGCTTGTGTCAGTATAGTGGAAGTTTCTAGCATCAATCACCCAAGGAAAATACTTCACATACCAGAGTGTCACAGAAAGCAACATGCTGGTTTGTGTTTAATGGGGGTGCAACAGAATGATTTTGCATCCACAGCTTCCTGAAGCTATGTAACACCATGTACCAGGCACACCATGTTTAACAACCTGCAGATACTCTGTCCCACTAAAATATAAATGATATAAAAATGCAGACAGTATGTTTTCAAACAAATTTAAGTCAATAGCTCGCATATCTGTGTTACTGATTTTCATTCAGCTGTAATCCGAAAAGACTTTGCCTAGTTGCACTAAATTACTGCAGAAAGTATTAAGCTTATGTAAGCAGAATTAGCATTATGGTTAAAACCACCAAGCAGCCATCAGCTTTCCGTTTATCTTTTGCACACTCACATCCTCCCTTTGGTCTGGCAGAGATGATGATCGGCACATGCTAAAAGAGCATTATCCCAAGGAACGCATCGAAAAGCAGCGTTGTGAGGACAACCATCCACCATTCCGTTTTTCACTACACACTGAGTGCAACACAGTCACCAGCTGAAGACCAGGGGAGTGTGTCACTCCAGTACAGGAGGCTTAGCATTCCTCACATTCCCTGGCAGGCTTTCCAGATTATACCTCTTGAAAAGATGGTTGCCATATTTCTGCCTTAATGAATAATAACTGAATACACAAGGTGAGGTGGTTTTGTTTCAAATCCAAAGCCCGTGGCCCTGCCTGAGGTAATGAGTACACTCAGGCTCTTTGTTCATCAGCAGGGGGAAAAGTATAGACTGTGGGTCATCAGCCATTTGAAGCTCTGGCAGCCCAGGAATAAGTCAAGGTTACCATAAACATGCCAACTGTTGCACAACACATACTCACTGCCCTGGATTTACCACATTTCCAGAGTAATTAACAGTTCTGTTCTCATTTTGGTTACCATACTCCCAAGTCCAGCCTTTTGCTCAGAACTACTGCAGCAGTGATGGCACCCCAGTTCAGCTGCTGGCAAGATGGGGAATATTTTCCCCGGGAAATCACCTGCAGGGACATAAGAAATGGTCAGATCATTGGCTCACCTAACCTGGCACTCAGGCTCAAAGTGGAAGTGGGCAATGACCTTCAGGGACACCAAGTTCTCTCTATTCAATTTTTCTGTTCCCAGTCAAATTTTCTGCACCCACAGTTCATTGGATTAGGGATATTGGTAGATACATCCAGGCCCGTAGTACCCACTTACAAGCCTTCCATTCCTGACATTGCCTCATACCTTCTTGGCCCTGTTAACATCAGTCTCCATAACATCCTGTGACAAAAAATTTGAGAGGTTCCCAACTTACCATATAAAGCAAGTACTCTCTTTTACCTCTGTTAATCTGCTCTACTCATTTCATTGTGTATACTAACTGTGTACACTAATTTTCATTATACTATTGCAGCATTTTTTGATCTCTGCATTCATCCTATTCACTGCCTTTGTAACTTTGTAAATGCCTTTGCTTCCTCTCCAAATTTCAGTCTCATGGAGCAGCTGCTTCATCCTCTCTGACTGTTGTTTTCTCTGTACCTATCCTTATGCCACTAAGTCTTCCCTAAGATGCAAAGACCGGACTACACGAAGTGCTCAAGATGTCACCTCAGCAAGACTTTACTTGGCAGCAAAGTCCTGATGGTGCCCAGCATTTATTTTCCTGGGTCTGCATGTGAGCTGTGAGTGAGGACTCCAAGGTTCTTCTCCTACCTGGACCTGCCAGCTCTGAACTCAGCATCACCTACAAGTGTAAGAACAGTGCAGATAGCCCTCCTTCCCCATCCATCCCCTCCCAACAACTGCAACTTCAGATGTACCCACTCAGGACATTCCAGAAGCCTCCACAAATTTTTTGTCCACTTTATCTGTTCAGCCACTGTTCAAGCACTCATGGTGTAGGAGATTTCAGCTTGAAAAGCCAACCTCTTCCTGATCAGAGTTGAACATAAACTTGTAGTTGCTTTGGAGTTCATTTAGTTTATGAAGCCACAGGCTACTTTCGCAATAAACATTTTTTATCCCCTCACTTCCTCTACAAGGAGTTTTTATAAGCTACTGAAATCCAAGCTCCCTCTTCAGTGAAATTCTAACCAACAGTTACAGTGTCAATATGGATTAGTTTTCTCCACTTTTCCTGGACCAGTGAATACATATATATATATCCATGAAGGCTGAAAAGGCTTCAGCAGAAGGGACTGGGACATCTCTTTCCTTCAATTAAGATCATCATCTTTAATTCAGAAATATCAGCAGGAACATAAGGCAAGGAAAAGGACTTTGCATAGCCTCTGTAATGGTGGAGACGATGAAAATTGAGAAAACTTTATAGATCTAGGGTTGAATTAATGCTTTTGAAGACAAAGAAGAGATATGACAGAAAATGCATTTATTTAAACTGCTGTACAATGGAAATCTCAATCATTTTCAAAAGCCAGCTGAAGGAGAAGTGGCTCACACAGCTTGCACACAGGAAGCCTCTTTGCAGTTTTCAACACTGAATTTCTTTTTCTCTAAGTAGCTCACTTGTGTGAGTGCAGTCACCTGCTAAGTGGCAGCAATGTGTTTGGCAGTACATAAACATGGGGAAAGACATGGCTCCTGCCCTGAGGAGCTTACAGTCTAGAACGTGACATAGACAATACTATTCCAACATATAACAATCACCTGAAATATCATCAGTCAGATATAAGAAGACCCGTTCTAACAAGCAAATGGAATACCAAATATATATATAAAGGCAACACATAGTACAGGGTGGTATCTTGTTCTGTTATGTATTTATATGTTCATAAGCCTACAGGCATGAAAGGTAGTGATGATTTGCTCAAGAGATCCACTTCATTTTCTTTGTCAGGGCTACTCCAGCTTGTGCTTCCTGAACAAAAATAAGGAAAATTAGATTAGAATTTATCACTCATTTTGTGATTTTACATGTCTGAACACTGAGCACCCTCTCTGTGAAGAAATTTTTCCTAATACCCAACCTAAACCTCCCCTAGCACAGCTTGAGGCCATTTCCTTTTGTCCTATCACTTGTTACTCAGGAGAAGAGACCAATCCATACCTCACTACAACCTCCTTTCAGGCAGTTGTAGAGAGCAACAAGGTTCCCCCTGAGCAATCTCTTCTCCAGACTAAACAACCCCAGTTCCCTCAGCCATTCCTCATAAGACTTGGGCTCCAGAGCCTTCACCAGCTTTGTTGCCCTTTTCTGGACCCACTCAGGCACCTCCACGTCCTTCTTGTAGTGAGGAGCCCAGAACTGAACACAGTATTCGAGATGCTGCCTCACCAGTGCAGAGTATAAGGGGATGATCACTGTGCTGGCCCATACCAGCCAGGATAGCCCTGGCCCATTTAGAGAGCATGCTGCTCTCTGCATTGCTCATACTTAGGGGACACAGCGCAGGAAGATGCTAAGGAATATGCCCAAAGCAGGTATCAGAAGCCTGGCAGGGAAATGAATGTTGTAAGAGCGATGGGGAATGGATGGAAGAGCCTGCAAAATATGGTAGATATTAGGGATGACAGAGACAGCTGTGCAGGAAAGTCAGATTCACTGATGCCAGAGAAATGGGAAAACTAATGGACACAATAAAGACAATAGCTCTTATTAACTGTTGTGCTTCAAATGTAAGCCTTCTTTTGGTTTTGGTACATACTTTCTGTTCTTGTCACTGCATATAACAACAATACGTACAAAATTTTCAAGTTTGTGTTACTCTAAGAACATTTAGAAACTGCTGGACGTCTCAATGGTTACCTGAAAACCTGTTCAAGAAAGAATGTGTCACAGTGTACTAAGACTCTTCTTGCTCTTCCACCTTGTCCTTTTCTTCTCCATCTTCCTTTTCTTCTCCCTCTTCCTGCTTTTCTTCTTCCTCCTTTTTTATAGAAAACAGTTGTAATTATCATGTAAGAATTGAAGAAAAAACAAAGAGTCTTGAAATGCAGAGCTCTGCTTTTGCAACTTTTCTGTTTCTAGTAAATGCAGTATTATTTGAGCTTTTTTTTTAAAAAAAAAAAAAAGTAGAACGAAGAAGTAACATATAGACCTTTTAATCTTATCATGCCAGGGCTCTAGCTTTATGGAGTTAATAGGCAAGTGCTCGAATACAAGAACCTTCTTAGAGAGGCTAGAATATGGTACATAGTTAAGTTGTAAAAAAACATTGAAGATCAAAATGAGGATATGAAATATATGCAAGTATGAAAAAAGTTTAGTATTTTTAATACACTTTCTTGGAGAAGTAAACAAGTCAAGATTCATGGCACGTGAACCAGGATCCTGAATAATCAAAAAATCATTCAGAATCAGATAATACAGCCTTGTCTCTGTTTCAAAAGTTTTTATTTCTCTCTTTTATAGAGAAGAAATGGCACAATTTAAAGACAATAGCCCTTTTCTTCACTCGATCAAATGAACAGTTATCTGAAAGCTAGCATTTATGTAAGACAGACAACAATCTGCGCTTATTGTATTTTAAGAGCCAGTAAATGAAGCTTTGAAGTGTAGTCCTACTCTGACAAAGAACTCAAAATTGCATTGTAAGCTTCTCTGTTCCTTCTCTTCCAGCAAATTCTTGTTCAAAGGCACTCTTTCCGTGTGTATAAACAAGCTTTATCTCAAAATGTCATAACTTCATACACTACCTAGACTACAAAAATTATGGTAGTTTCTTCCTGGCATAATCAAACAGTCAATCAAAGAATATATAATCAGCATTTAGTCAGGACTACAGGTAGTATGAGTAGCACAGCCCTTTGATTTTCCTCTCAGGCACATACTGTTTGTACAAGAGCCACATCTGAGCTGTTGAAGTAAAATCCTGCTTAAATACGTGCTGGGGAATGGACCTGTTGTAACCAGATTCTTGGTTTAAATAGTTTTTCAGAGAAAAATCATTGCACACAGGTCAGCTGGATTAGAAATTCTTGTGCCAAGGAATATTGCCTCTTTCAGCACCGTCCCTCAGGAAAGGGGTCTTTCATTAGCAATCTTTGAAACAGAGCCAGGCAAACCCACAGACAAGCAACATCTTTCGGATATTAACAACCTCAGTTCAAAATTCAAGTCAATTACCTCTTACAGAAAAAAAATGGGTATTTTGCTTGCTTAAAGCATTAGCTAGTGGTGCCAGGGTGCACTAAGCAGCCTTAACAGCCCTCGCCAGCCTCATCAGGAGCCCCCCACAACTTGCCCATGGAGCTCCATTCCAGCTGCTGGTTCCATACTGCATAACTGACAGCTGGCATGTGTATGTGTTCACATGTATATATATGCATATATATATATTGCAGTTTGGAAGTGGGAAGATGTGAATGTGCTGTCTTACTAATTGCTGTCCTGTAGTGGAAAATAGCCTAAAGTAATCATTAGTCTTCCTGGAAATCATAGAATCATAGAATAGTTAGGGTTGGAAAGGTCTGTAAGATCATCCAGTTCCAACCTGCCCACCATGGGCAGGGACACCTCACACTAAATCATGTCACCCAAGGCTCTGTCCAACCTAGCTTTGAACACTGCCAGGGATGGAGCATTCACAGCTTCCCTAGGCACCCCATTCCAGTGCCTCTCCACCCTTACAGTAAAGAACTTCTTCCTTATATCCAATCTAAACTTCCCCTGTTTAAGTTTGAACCCGTTACCCCTTGTGCTGCCACTACAGTCCCTAATGAAGAGTCCCTCCCCAGCATCCTTACAGCCCCCCTTCAGATACTGGAAGGCTGCTATGAGGGCTCCAATACTGAAGAAATGTTCAAGGCATAAACTTGAAATGCCAGGAAAAGGAGAAAACTGCATAAGAATTTGCACCTGGTTCTTTCAAATTCTGGCAAGGAAAATATTTCCTTTACAGGCAGAACTGCCAAAATTGTCAGAATGGCTCTTTCATACTCACAACACTGAAAATGCAATCAGCATGGTGTCAGTTAGCAATTGTCAAAGATGTAGTTGTCTTGGAAATCCTTGGCACATTTTATTGAAGAATCTGTGAAAGACAATTTCTCTTCCATTTGCATTTTTTTATTATTAGAGGCCTGTCTTTGTTCCCAAACAATAAGACTATGATACGACCAATAATTATCTCTAGCTGAATATAACACTAGTATTTTTAGTTTTATGAATAAGAATTTACTAACTTTTGAGTGAAGCAATGAGACTGAAAAGGAATTAAATGCATGCAAACAAAAGATGAAGGCAAAATATACCATACCCCTGTTGTTTCATGTTCTTCCTTGCTTTCCTACATAAGAGATACAAAAGAACGTGTTTAAATGATAGACCAAAGAAAGAATATCAAAGATCATGCAGGTGAAACAGTAGAAATTAAACACTGGATTTAGGAACATTATGTGGAATTCAGTGGATTTATTTTGAGTCTTTCATATTAACTCACAAGGCACATTTACCCTAAGCTTTTACTTTGAAAAAGGGCTACAAAATCATTAAATACAGCTCCCTTTTTCTCAGTTCCTTCCAATTAAATCTGCTCCATTGATGAGCAAAGCATTGGAGGGGTTGGTTTGCTTTTCCAGGTGGGGTTTGGAGGTTTGGTGTTTGTTGTGGCTTTTTTTATTTTTCTTTTTAATTAGGTGGTCTGCAAAATGAAAGTTAGATCAGAATTATGCAGAGTCTTATCTATGTTACACATCATCGCTCAGAATCTGGCTTGCAATTCTGTTAACTGTTGTAGGCTGGAACAGATGCCTTGGCTCAGCAATACTGGGGAATAAGATATAATAACAAGATGGGTTTAGACTATAGATCAAGAAAAAGTGATGAAGAGAGATAAAAGAGAAAAATTATCTAAATGTACAGTGAATAGAATTTAATGTTAGATACCAAGCTGGTTATTGGAGAGAAGAGCTAATCTTACGCAAAATCCCAAAGAGAAAAGGCAGATGGAATAGCACCATGCAGAAGGCATGAGTGGTTGATATGAGTTTGCATAGAATGCATTGAGATAAGGAAGTGAACTGCAGTGCCGGGGTTTATATGTGGCCTGAGGAATTGCTGAGACAGGATACAGACTTGCATTATAATATGATTTTTGAACATGTTTCTAAAATAATTCTGCCCTGAAGTGAGCCTAATCTGTACTGCAAACTGATTTAACTGGGACACCACTTAAAAATATTCTAACCCCCAAGCTAAAATCTGAAGTTTAAAACAGGCAGTAAAATAAAAATTATTACCATCATATCTAGTGACCAGCAGAGCCCTTGCTTTTCCATATGCAGAGAAAATCACAGTTTTTCCTCAAAAAGCTTAAAAACAAAGGGACAGACAAAGTAATAAAAAGGGACACTATCCCCCAACAAAATGGTTCCTCAACCTTGTCCATCAGAGGATAGGGATTAGGAATGGAAAAAAAAGATTAGATAAGCCTGATGAAGTGATTAGGGAAGGAAAGTATGCAACAGGTTTAAGGTGAAAAAAAAATTCATAATCTAAAGAAATCTTAGTGCAGCTGTTCCTTGGTGACCAGGCTGAAAGCTGTTCTGTTACTTACTATTGCATCTGTGTAAGAGACTTACTATTTCAATATCTGCTCCGAGGTTTCCTGGGTGCTTGTTTGAATGAGGGGCTGCAGCTGCTGAAGCCTAGGCAGTCTAATGTGAGGTGTACGAAGAACAATCTTTTGCACTGCCGCTTATACCCACCACTTTCAGGAGGCAGCTGTTGACTTAAGAGTTTTGTTTTTCAGAGGGTTGGGGTCTCTCACTGGTTTCCTCAGGCTCACACCAGCCTGAGACAAAAAGCTGGAGCTTCTGGACTCCTGCATCTTCCAGCAAGGGCAACAGAAGAAGTAGAGGAGGGCTGCAGCCTCCACAAGTACCCATATTGACCATCAGATGCCATCCTTGATACTGAGGCTTTAAGGAGCCTTCTGAAATCTGGGAGCCTTCATGCAGCTCCACAACTGAGACAGTCAGAGTTTATTTTGTTACCTGTCATACGCTCATTGGCAAAGACTGAGATATCTTTATCTTGCCCAGACTCTTCTAGAATTTTTCCATAGCACTGGCGTTTCTCCTGCAGAGTCACTGGAGAAAAGCCAGCTGGGTTACACCCTGCATGAGAGAGTAATTTTTAAGCTGGTACAAAACTGACTGCTAAACACGGCCAACATGCCAATACTGAATTCCCACTGGTATATTAATTCAGAAATAGAACATAAAACTGTGGTGCTTAAGTTACTGTATTTTGGTTTGAGGGCCTGTCAAAAGAGTAAGTTGACACTCCAAAAGGGACATGACTACTGCTCAAAAGATGCAACTGTTCAGCTGCAAAACAAGGTGGACCACTAATATAAAGGTCACTCTTTCAGAATTCAGTATACAGAGAATAGCTCTTACTAAGTTAGACAGAAAAAAAACACATGGGTGGGGAGAGCACACAGAAAACATCTATTTAATGTGGAAAGCAGTCAAACAAGATGTGCTGGGCTGCAGAATGAGAGGAAGAAAGGGGAATACTGAAAATACTATGTTGATACTACATGTACCCTTCAGGACCTAACACCCAGGGGAAATACTACAATGGCAATCTGACAGTCTTCAAATGTATTTAACTTCATAAATGCCTGGCCACATAATGAAATGTTATTTGGGCTTTCTTTTTTAGAGGTAAATTGGGATACAGAAACATAAAGTGGAATTCGTCTCACTGGACCTGCCTCCAAGTTATTCATCCTCTGTGTGCTGTTTGTTGTGAAAGAGAATAACAGAATTTCTACAGAATTATTCATGCCATCCCAACAGAAGTGATAATTGGGATAAACTGTGGCAAGGCAGACAGATGCCACGTCACCAAAGTGATCTGTCCTAGGTGACAAGGGAAATGGGTGGTGGAACAGGGTGAAAAATGGGTTTTGTGCATCCCTAGCAGGAGACATTGAACCTTGCTGCTTGCAGTGGGAAATACCCTATATAAAAGTGAGACAGGAAGAGAAACAGTGCTTTTTTTACTTCCCCTATGAGCTAATATACACCTGGCATGATAAAGGTGGGCATCAGAGTTGGACGATTTCAGGAAGACTTTTACTCCTTATGTAAAACCATTTCAATGCTGCCAAGACTGTGCAGGTGAAAGGGGAGGGTTTGTAAAACTAACCATATTTTATAACCTTATAATGACAGAACAATCTGTTCAAATACACTGTCTTGCCTTGTGCTCGCTCCTCTGCCACTCCCCTCCCAGAAAAACTAAAGGAGAATGTATTTTCCATTTACAGCTCCAGTCCATCCTGTGAGAAATGGAGCAAGGTGCTTGTTGTACAGGACTGGTATTGCATTATGTCATTACAAAACCTCTCATACACAGCTGCTTGACACATTTGCAGACATGTTCCAGCATTCTGCATTTAAAAAATATTAGAGTACTCTGCCAGCCAGAATGGCAAGGTAACCTAAGCCAGCCAGGGGTTGCACTGCAGTTTTATGCTGGTCTTAAGAGCCAAGGAAAATGGTATTTGATGGCACTCATGCACCAGCTGAAATTCTGAGACATGAAAAGTGTTTGGATAGAATGTAATGTGAAATTTCAGTTCCTACTGAGAACTGTTTCTCCTCATTGCCATTTTGAAATTTTAAATGGGACTTCCCAGCACCTGAGACTTGCATGAGGCTAATGTAAAAGGGTGCTTTTCCAGCCTAACAATGACTACAGTCATTGCTAAAAAAGGTAGTGGGGAAAAGCTTAGAGAGAGGTGCTTCCTCTGAAAAACACTGCAGCTAGATGGAAAACAATGAAACAATGAAAACACATTTGTTTTCCTCTTTAGTGAAAGACATGATGCATTTGTGACAGATATCCCACTGGGACCATCTGATCTCCAAACCACAAAAAAACCATCAAGTACTTGATCCAGCAGTAGGCCTGCCTCTTTGAGACGAGTCACTTGACACTGCAACATCAAAATAAACCCATCCTTAAATGCCAAACTGTCAGAGCAGCAGAAGAAATGAAGGAGCCTGATCCCTATCTCCAGACACAGGATCCATTTCTTCTTAGTCTCCACTAGGTCTAGAACCCGGCCAGTAATATGAACACCCCCCTGAGGAAGATGGCACACAGCAGAATGGTCCCTTTTTGCAGGATCCATCTACCACAAGTACTCTACTGATGTTGGCTAACAGCAGGATATTATCCTAGGGAATTTAAGGAACTCAGGTGGCCTCTTCCAAGAACCTTTAGCACTGCAGCTTGAGATCTGTCCATGTGACTGTAACATCAGACCATAATGCAGCAAAAGGATAACAGAAGACTCAATTTCTGCATTGCCCAGGGGTTTCTGCCTGTCCTGGAGAAGACACTGTCAGATATGGTTTGCTGCAACAGCAGTCAATACTGGTACATGACAACAAACATTAACAACTAGATTTATGAGCCCTGCAGACATTGGCCATTGATAGAAGCAATTTTTTCTACACAGACAGGACCCAGATGTCTAGTCCTAAATTATTCTCCATAAGCAGGGTCTGGTTCAAAATGAGCATTAAAACCCAAGAACTTACAGTAAGAATGTGTAAAAGGAAACTTCAATAAAGACAAGCACTGTTACTCAAGATTCAGAGCAAGTTCCCCAGAGTTTTATCTAGGTTTCATATCACCATGATGTCAAAGAAAATGCATCCAAGAGCAAAACAGGACCACTCTGCTATCAGCTTTTCCATCCTGAGACACAATAGGAAGGCCTGTGGGTTTATGCTTCATGTGCTTGGCACAGGTAAAACCCTCATATCACAAAGGGAAAAAGGAAAAATTACCTGTTGATCTTCTGATTCTGACTGAGCAGACTGAGCCTCTTCATGAGCCCCTTCATGAGCCCCTTCGTCTGCCTTGTCTTCTGTTTGTGCCTCAGTTCCATCCGTGGCATCAGACTTTTCAGTCTCCTGGCAGCAAAGATGACATTGTTAGTTTTGTGGCACATAATCAACAATTTCTATAACTTGACTTTACAGTTTTGGGTGGTGCTTTTCTAATTTTACTTCAGCACACAAATGAAAATACACCCTTCTGGACATTTTCCTGTGAAAAGAACATTTGTTGGCATGTTAATCTTTTGGTAAAACCATGGTGTTTGTGTAGGGAAAACATGAATTCAAGCACTTCTCCCTCTTCATAGCAGAGTCTCTCACTTTTCTGTGGAAAGCCTAATAGAAACTGGTGCTCACCCTGACTGCACATTCCAGATTAAGGAAAAAAAAAAAAGCCTTTTCTTCAGCATGCATTCCAATTAAACTACAGCAAGAACCTACAGAAAAACAGAAGTAATAAAGGATTTCACATACAGTGTCTTAACTTTCTCATTTAAAATCATCAGGGAAACTGCTTCTCAGTTCATACACTGATCTATCCAATCTATTTATTCCAGCTCCATGAACAAGCACCTCCCAGAAGGCTCTTTAAGTCCTGTGGTACTTTCAGCTAGGTAACTATGAAAGGTCACACTGAATCACACACTGCATCAGATAAAAAAAGAACTGTATGACCTCAACCGGAATAAGAAAAATAGGATTAAATTTAATAACATGAAGTGCAAAGTCACACTCTTTGGGACATGCAGTTCTGGGACAGAGCTTAGAAACAGATGTTTCTACTGTACTTTGGGAGCTTGTTAGCTGAGAATCATCAAAGAAGAGAAAGATGGATGTATTTAAATAACAATAATTGAGCCATGAATATGATATAGTAGTGAAAGAGGTAATAAATGTCATCCCCACATGTATGAAGTGAGGTATAGCTAGTGGAGTTGAAAGCAAATATTGTACATTGTTATTGTACAAGGCCAAGGCACAACCTCCTCTGGATCGCTCTGTACTGTTCCAGTTACTCAGGCTCAAGAAAGAGAAATTCAGACTGGAACAGGTGCAGAGGAGGGCTTTGGGAATATCTGAGGGAGTGGAGAGCCTGTCTTATGAAAGGGTGACAAAAAAAGATTCATTACTTTAATCTATTGAAAGTAATGCTGTGAGGGGATATGATGGCTCTCTAAAAATAGATCAGAGTAAACAGGGAGTGGTAGGATAAGGAAGAGCACAGATAAAGATGCAAAATGAGTACAAACCGGCTGTTAATAAAAACTCTAATCAGCAGCAGTATGGAATTTTGGAAGAGCTTCCTAGCAAAGAAGCAGAGGCAAAGGACCTAATATGTTAAAAGGGAATTTGACCACTTCTTAAAGGTCTTATCCACTGTGCTTGCCTCCAGCAAGAGAGAATTGGGCTCAGGAAAGGTCCTGTCCTGTGTCATCCTAAATTCTACATGCTTTGGGCAGAGCAACATGCCCCAGTAGACAACCAGCTCTTTTCTCATCTCTGCCACCCAGCCCTTACAACTCATCTAGCTGGTTGGTTTGGGTTTCTATGCTTTTCCACATTTTCATTTGTTGCTACAGTTAAACAAAAACCCCTGTCATGACCTCCTGCCCTTTAAGCTTCTCAAGTCCTCCTCCAGTGTCCTCATCCATATATGGTTTCTTCAGCCAGTGTACTTAGCCTGCAGAAGCATGACGTAAGCACAGCTATCTGGCTTTTAGCCCCAGATCAGACTTGGGGGAGTGCTGATTTAGGGATCTTTGTGCCCTCCTGCTGAGATGCTCTGGGGACAAAAGTTATAGAAGAGTGGTTAGGAACATTTGTAAGCAGGTTATGAAGACAAAGTCACAATAGACAAAATAATTCTGTAGTTTTATCCTTTTCCTGAAACTTCACTGTGTAAGATTTTGTGCCTTTCTGGCAATTTGCTCCTGAATCATGCAAAATATGTTTTACATCTAAGGAGCTTGCAATGACAAGAGAGTAGGCACATAAGCTCCTAAATTCCCCTTCCCCTCCTCAGAGAAAAACAACAACAGAAAAACTCAGCAGCAAGCCTTGCCCTCCCTGCAGTTCTTCCCAGTGCTGCGCTGCCCCTGCCCTCCTGGCAGCAAAAGCCTTTCCAGGGCTGCACGGTGAACTGGAACAGAAGGCTGATCAAGAGTAATGCTTTAAAAAGAAAAACATTTCTCTCACACACACTTTGTGCACTCTGTTACACAGCTGCATGAATGTTTTTGCCAGCACGTGGGGGATGCTTGAGAAGAGGAATGAGCAGCTGGGAGTAAGCAGAAGAAGCTAGAAGAAGGAAGGAGAGAAGACTATTTCTTCTTCTGGCAGTATTGTCTCATTTCAAGTACACATAAAACTGTGGGCTCACTGCACTCTCATGCTGGTGGCATTGTTATTAAAAACGGTGATTGTTAATATCATTGTTATTAAAAACAAATCTACAGAGACATTTGTTTGGCTTAATCTATCTTGTACTTTTCCCCCACAAACTAACAAAATATTTGAAGAATAAAATAAGTAGTAACACAGCATGTATTGACATTCTCTTGTGCAACACTGTCAATACATTGTTTTCTCAAGCGATAACTTCCTTACATTCTCTGTAGCAGTTTCTAAAATGAAAAGGATAGTGTTAAGGAAAACTAAACTGGTTATATATTTATTTTCAGCATGTATATTAAGATGTCATTTTAAAATCTATGTACTCAATATTTTGGGGAGATATATAAAATACATAAAGACTAAGATGGCATTCTAATTAAAATTAACCTATTGTGTAAAACTCTCAGATGAATCATACACCTACTCAGAACATAAGGCAAATAAAAGTTGTAGCTGAAAGAACTAAACTGTAGAAGCAGCATGTTATCAGCCAGAACGCGCGCGCGCGCACACACACACACACACACATAGAGTTCTTGTTAATTATATGGAGAACTGTGATGCTTAGAATATCATCATTATGCCAGCTCTCCATAGAAACAGAAAATTTAATTTTTAACTAATTTAAAATGAAGTACCATTTATGAAGATTGGCTGACAGGTAATTTTCTCTTTAAATAAAACGCACATACTGTAGATTTGTAATTCAAAGCAGTCTTAGTAGAAGTCTTCTTCAACTAAAAGACCAAAGCTCAAGTATTTACAGATTTCAGGTTGTCAAGATTATGGATATTAAGAGCAATAATACTGAGATTAAGGATCTAAGTATATACAAGATTTGAAAACAGACCTTCAGCTCAAGTAAATGAGCTTCACCAAGTTCACAAATCAATTGCAAACCTAGGTGATCTTGATACAGGCTACAGGCTCTCTGGACTTTTGGACATACCAGACTCACCCTCTAAATGTAGATCAGTTTGCACATTAGGCTCTGGCACCATCAGAGCTCCAATACCTACCAGTAACAATTCAATGTAAATGATGAACAAATAGGTCTGGTGAAAAATTGTAGCCACCTAACCCAGAGAGGTCAGGCCTACAAAAACGAGAATCTGCAGAACTGAAACATGTATTTTGCACTCAGCAGGCTGATGTGGCAATGGATTTAACTACAGGATTTTGTTGGGAAGATGTAATTTGTTGAGGGAGTAACAAAAAGTTCCTCTGGTTGCTCTAGAAAATGGTCTCAAAACAGTCCTAGATCAGGATCCTAACAGACTGGGCTATGAAACAGAATCTCATGGCCATTAAAGAGCTTCTCTACTTCTGATGCAATGTGAGACAAAAGATAGATGGAAAAGACTCCTTCTGGGGCAAGTGTATAATATGTGTATCTGCTTTATATTAATCTTTGCAATGTCTCAGTGAGGTAAAAATCCCTAGAAAGTAAATGCTTAGTGTTTCATGGCATTTCCATGCTTTGTAAATTATCACCATATTCCAGAAAACAAACAAACAAAAAAAAACACAAAAAACCAAAACCAAACAACAAAAAACAACAAAAAACCCAACAACAACAACAAAACCACACACACAACCCCCACACACAATTATTCAGGAAGGAATTAGTAGGAAACCCTGTCATATGTGTCATCATCACCATCTCTTCCACCTGACTTATAATTCCAGTTTCACACTGCTGGAAATCAATGTCACAAGCCATTTACTGTAATTCATGCTAAGGTTGCATTGACAGCCTAATGACAGGAAAGCAGAAGCAGTGCAGCAAGGTTATTTGTATGACAAAGCACAGCCAGACTGTCCATGCAGTGAAGATGCTGAGAAATTAACCCCTGCAACAAATGCTAAAACACTTGCATATGTCTCTTTCAAATTCAGGAACAGATTCTAACAGGGAGACAGTGTAATTATACTTCCACTCTGGAAGTATACATGGGTTTTTAAAAAACACTCTCAGCTATTTCCACTTCTGGGCTGAAACGATCACCACCTCCACCAATGCAGCAGCTAATAGGCGTACACAGTACTTGCTTGCTGCTAATAGCACTAACACTAATCTGCCCAGCAGAATGTGCAGAACATACTATTTTCAAAGTTTACAAAGTTGTCACAAGCAGAAACTGCAATAGCCTCTGCTAACAGCTGGAAATTAATGAATTCTCTTCTGTTACTTCACAGAGATACTATCAACAGAACCATGCATGAAAGAGCAGATAATATATGAATTGGAAAGACAGAAAAATGCAATTTTCTTTATCTCATTGATTTTCCACATATCTTTTATAATGATTATAATACTTAATACCTGCTGTTCTTTAAGCCTTTCATGGCTTTGTGGATGTTAATTAAATGAATTCTCACAGACCCTTGTGAGGTAGGCAAGTAATTTTTATTTCCCTTGGTGGGAGATGGCACAGCTAAAGCAGAAAGTTTAAATCACTTGGTCTCTATCACACAGAGACTCAGTATCAAAGACATTCGTAGCAACTGTGGCTCTCCCCTGGGTATCTCTTCATCTCTAACTCTTAAAGCACTTAGTAAAGCCTCCTTTTTATCTTTACCTTGACAGAAGAGGAAAAACAGAGACATGTACAACACTGTCTCACTCAGAGTTGCTACACAGCTAGCAGCAGAGTTGGAACAGAAAGCAGATCTCATGCTCCAGGGCACTTCTTCAGCCAGGTCACAGCAATGCAGCAGAATTTGGTCACTCTGGCTCATCACTCTCTTGATCCATTTCTTTTGTTGAACCACCCACGTTAAAGATGGCAACATTTTATGATGATCTAACATGATCTCAGGATAAGACAGCTGTAACGCTCTCAGGTATCAAACTTCTAATTAGAAATAGACTATCTTCTCAAGGCAGAGGGAGCGCATCCCATAGTGCCAGTCTGCGTGTACACATAGAGGATGGGCTGGGTCCACACCCCAGCCCCTCTGTTGGTGGCCTACACAAACCCTGTTTGTTCAAGGCTTGATGCAATCTGGGGGAAGTGAAGGTGTCTTGTAATTTTAATTCAACCTATAAAATGCACTAGGAAATTCTACATAATTTAAAAGCTAAACATGATAAAATACTGCTTTGTGTAAACAACATCTACCAAAAAAAAAAAAAGTCATCAGCTGGAGGTATGGTAACAAGTCTGCAGTGAAAGAAGGGAAAAGAGAAGTATTTTCTAGTATTTACTGAACCAACCACTTCTTTTTTTCCCCCTTAAGAACATTTTGCTGGACAAGCATCTAATGTAATGCTTTGTCACTGCCCCTTATTTGACATGCTGAGTCACTGCCTCCCTTCATCTTTTATTAAAACCAAATCCCCCCCCCCGGAAGTACAGCAGCTCATACCTTTGTGCCTGGAGGAGGAGCAAGCCCCAGGAATGAATAAATAATATTTTCTTCTTTAGCAGAGAAAAAGGATTCAAAATCCTAAAAAGGAACAAACAGACAACAGAAAATTGGTAACAAAAATCAAACAAAAAGCACAGGAGGAAGAGAATAGCCCAGGCAAATCTTTCTTACATTGATGAGAATGACTATGCATTTGCACATGCACCTGCATTATCTAAGCCCCAGGAAGAAAACTCAGATTAAGGGAGTTTCATACTGGCTGGCAAAATGAATAATGGGCAAATCTCTCCAGAGATTTAGACTTTAATTATATCACATCAGATAAAATAAAGCATTTCACTTTAATGTGCCTCAGCTGTACACACCAAAGCAAAGCTATTACCATTTAAATGTTAAAATAAAACTTGCAGTGAGAAAGAACACAAAACAAGCCCTCAAGAGCCTGGACAGCTTTATGTCATATAAAAGGCAACTGTCAACATAATAGCACAATGATAATGATAATGAGGAAACTTTAAAGAAAGTCACTCTGGTTAGAAAATGCAGTTACTTTTCAGACAAACTTAGAAAAGGATTGGGTTGGTCCTTCTGACATATATGTACCAACCAAAATCTCTTGTCCGCACATGAAGTTAAATAATGTTAAATGCTCTATTTTCTCTTCATATATATATATATCAGATACATATAACTGAATATTATTACTGAAATATGTAACTGAATACATTATACATATTAATATAACTGAAAAAACTTTAGGGATGGCTCCTATCTTACCACCTAGAACTTGCATGGTCTTTACAGTATTCACCTGTACAACTTTCCTATCAATTAAGGAAGCTCTGCTATCACTAGTTTGTTACTGACAAGTTCATGACTCACATCACATGTGTGACCAGCAGGTCAAGGGAGGTGGGCTTCCCCCTTATACTCTGCTCTCATGAGACCCCACCTGCAGTACTGCATCCAGCTCCGGTGCTCCCAGCACAAGAGGGAGGTGGAGTCATTGGAGCAAGACCAGAGGAGACCATGAAGGTGATCGTCAGAAGACTGGAGCATCTCTGGTATTGAGACAGGCTGGGAGAGTTGGGCTTGTTCAGCCTCAAGAAGAGAAGGCTCTGGGAAGACCTCATAGAGGCCTTCCAGTGCCTGAAGGGCAAAAATAAAGTCTGGAGAGGACTTTTTACAAGGACGTGTAGTGACAGGACAAGGGAGAATGGCTTCAAGCGGAAAGAGGGTAGATTTAGATTAGATATTAGGAAAATATTCTTCAGTCTGAAGGTGGTGGATAGGTGGATTGGAGCAGGTTGCCCAGAGAACTTGTTCATGCGCCATCTCTGAAGTGTTCAAGACCAGGCTGTCCAGGGCTTTCAGCAACCTTGTCTAGTGGAAGGTGTCCCTGCCCGTGGCAGGGCGGTTGGAACCAAATGATCTTTGAAGCCCTTCAACCATTCTATGATTCTGTGATCTTACACAGGTAAAAATCAAAATATACTTAAGATCTCAGCAGAAACTCTGGTCATAAATTACTGGCCCACAATCACACAGCAGCTCTGTGTAGTGCAGGGGACATGTCTGCTGGGTCCTAGACAACTGCCTTGGCCTCACCCCTTCCTCATTCTTCCACTCATCCAAAATAACTCCAAAAATAGAAGCTTGTAAATAGTAAGGTGCTATCTCGTCCTTGAGACTTGTTTGTAAAGCTGGGTTAGGACCTGAGTTGTCGTACTGGACTGTTTTAGTATTTCCAGAGAATAAATTATTGACCATAGGTAATCCTAGGGAAAGGCTGGAATGATGGTTTAGAAGTCAGTGTAATGTCAGAAAGACTGGAAGCCATGACATTTCAGTCCAGTTTGGAAGAGGTAACATAGCTTAACAGACAAGATAAATGACAGGCCATTTTGCTGATTTATCTAAGGGACAGATTGGCTTTCACACACACCTGGCTATAGGCAGTGGGAACTGTTCGGTCTGAGAGAGGCCCCAGAGCACATTTTGCCCAGCCCAGGCAGACTGCCTGCTGCTGCTCCAGGCCACCCACTTCTCAAATCACCTCTTTGTTTTTTTCATGTTGCTCTAGGTTTCTCCTTCTTACCTAAGCCAGGTCTGCCATAAGTATTTAAGAAAGACAGTGTCTCAAGTCTAACCCACAAACTTAGGAGCAATATAGCAAACAAAACCACGAGGATTTTATGCAATTCAAAGGGCTAAAATTTGACATGGGCTTCTGAGAGGCCATACAAAACACAGGAAGCTTGGGTCCTCCTGCATACCACATACTCACAACACAGCCTAAGCAAACTACAGCACAATATATGAATAGCTGGGAAACAAAGACTGTAACGAGGAAAGGCCATGAAGTGAACTTGATATTTTATTTCACTGAATGACAAAAGATAACTGTTACCAAGCAGGCAGTAAGAAAAATGAGCAGTAACAATTTATTTCAGGTAAGCAATAAAACTATACTGTATGAGAAGACATGAAGGGTCTAGGCAGAGGACACTGGTGTCATTTGTCTTTGGAACTAGTCTTCAAAAAATACGGTGAAATGTATTTAAAAGAAAAATAATACTCCATGAGTTTTTCCTTATGAGTGCATATGCACATATACACTCTACACTACCATCTTTTTTATAACCACTGTGGAAATGACAGACAGCAGAACAACAAAACTAGACATCAGTGGAAAGTTCTTCCCCATGTAAGTGGTATGGCACCAGGTCACAGAACACAGAGAGGGCATGGAAACAACATCCTTAGAGCCTTTTGAAACTCAGATGGGAAAAGCCCCCAGCAACATAAGCTAACCTTATAGCTATGCCTGCTTTAAGCAGCAGGCTGGACCACAGACCTCCACAGGTCCCTATGATTTTCATATATTTTACTTTAGGAGGTATATAAAGCAAAAGTCTTACCTAATAATTCAGAGAGTCTTTAAAAAGTATGTACCTGGGTATTTTATATTCTGCAGATTGCAGTTTACAGAGAAAAGCAGAGGTTACAGCTTGCAGAGAAAACCATTCAATTTCTTTCCTGATTTTCTAGGTTTTTTTGTTAAGCAAAAACAAAGACAAGAGCAACAGAGTGCTCAATATATTTAGAAAGTGACACAAATGCAGACGCCTGTCTAGACATGAGAAAAAAGCAGCTTAAGAAAAAAATCAAATAAGAACGTAATTGCCAACAATGATGGTTCAGAATAGATACTTGAAATTTATGCTACAGCAAGGCATACAAAATGAATCCATTTCTAATCTGTTTCTTCAAGTGGCAGTACCAAAAATCTGAAAGAAAAATAAGATTCAAGCTATTTTATCAGACAGTCTTAAGCTTCTCTGACCTCAAGGAAAAGCTGCTCACAGTTGGTGTATTTCCATGAATCTGTAAGAAACCTCCATTTTAAGTACAAATTAGGAAGTGAAGCAGCTCTTCAGGGTTGGCCAAAAGATGCAGATACTATCATGTTACTGGCAGAAAAGCAGGCTAGGATAGGACTGTGTTTACTTGCTCATTATGCCGGTCATATATCATATGTCATATGTCAGCACAAAAAGGAAGCCTCACATGTCCCCGCTATCCCCTCTTTCCTTACCTCCACCCCCAAAATTCCACTGAACTGCATAAAAGGGTATTGGAAAAGATCTCAAAGGACTTCTCCAAAGCAAGAATCACTGCTATTCCTGATAGGTGTTTGTGCAATCCCCTGATAATCACCTTTAAGGAGATGAGTCAATCCCCTAAAAACTACATTTTATTTTTTTCTGATGTTGGACTTAAACTTTCTTTGCTGAACTTTCTGTTCATTACATCTTGTCTCAACGCCTGTGAGGGTGGAGCAGAACATATGTTACAAAATTCCAGAACCACAGGATAACTCTCAGGTGGGAACAGACTTCAGGAGACCATCTAGTTCAACCTCCTGCTCAAAGTGGGGTCAATACTTAATTCAGACTAATAATTAATTCCTTTTTTCTTCAGCCCTTAAAATATTTTAAGATTGTCGTGACTTTCTCCTAACTCCTCTTTCTCAAAGTGAGGAAGGAAATATTTTATTGTGAATTTTCATCTCGCAAGGCCAGTGGTCCCAGGCCAGCACGCACGTTTGAATGGGAACCAAACATACAGGAAAATTGATTGGAAGGAAGTGATCTCTGAAAGGATAAGCTGAAATGAAATGTAAAGTTTGATCTGAAAACAGAGGACTACCTGGGAATGAAGAAATTAAAAAAATCAGTAGGACGTACTACATTGGATTAGAGCTGTTTAAGCTAAAGATTTTGGCATCAACTGGCTGCCTATGCCCAGACTACAAATTAAAAGGTTTCTAGATGCCACAAGACAGAGTGTAGCATCTAGTGTGGCCTTGAAGACTGTAACTAACAAGAGAAATGTATTTTAAAGGGACTTTCATGAATTCAGCATATTGGACTGGTATACCTGACTCAGACAGGCCTTTGCAATTCTCAGCCCTATTTTTAATAAAGTGAGGACAAAGGATGTGAGGCACAGGGGAAGAGTTAAGATCTATCATTTAAACATTAAACAGCATAAAACAATTCTAGATTTCTGTTGGACATGCACAGGTTATGAACAGAAGCAGAATGCAAATCCCAGCTTTATACTGTAGACATGTTGCAGAAGGCATTGTGTCAGTTTGAGGAATTTTGCACAAATCTACCAGCCCCTCACCATGATCTCAATCAGCCCACATAATCCCACTTCACACTCTGTGCAGCTCCCTTAAGGCACTTTTCCCTGAGGAGAAGGATGAGGATCATGTACTGATATGGATCTCCTTACCTTATTTATTTATTTAGGAATAATGATGCTATAAATTGACCTTTATTTTATGTACTCACTGGGATCATTAGCTATGAGCTTTGAAAGCTGTGTACATGGGAATTCTGGAGACTTCTAGTCTAACTGTAAATTTGATTTAATTTTTAAATCAATAGCTGCAACTGCTTTCTGGACCCCTTTCCACATGGAGGTGTCTTTGCAAAGGACTCTGTCTTAAGCTTAAACTGATTTCAACATGTAGATTATTTGGCTTCCTGAACTAGCTTCATACATGGAATAAAAATTGTATATTTACAATTTACTGGCAAGACTGACCAGCTGCAACACTTTGTAAGGCAATTACTCTTTAAATCACTATGTAACATCTCCAGGGCATACCATAAGTATTTATTGCAACATTGGCTGCCACAAAATCCACAGTAAGATGTATCAAATTATATTTTTATTGATGTAGATTGGATGTTAAAATGCACATGAACTCTAACCTACCAAGTTCTCTTAAGATTCCTATGAGAAAATGAGGAAACGGTTGCACTCCATTATTCATACTATCAACTTTTGCTCCGAGAGCACTTAAGTTAATTCTGAAAACTCAGTGGCATGTAAATCCCTTCTCTCTCAAAACAACCTTTGCAGTAGTTCACACTGGATTTGCGGAGTAACTTAAAACTGGGCTCACTATGTGATCTGCATTTCAGAGTTCTTTGCAAGTTCATTTCAGCAATCACATCAGAGTACTCTCCAGGCTGTGTATTTCTATCCAGACTATGACAAAAAAACTGTCTCAGATATCTCTCTTGATTCACGACCATAATATTCATGCTGGTACAGTATCATCTATCACTGCTTTGAACAAACTCTCTCAAGAGAAGTAATCTTTTACAAGCATATATGAAAATATAAAAACATCTGATGAGCATTACAATGTCTGTTACAAAGAGTTGGATGTTGAATAATGAGTATAATTTCAGTAATTCAAACATACTAGAACTATTCCAGTCAACTATAATTCCTATTTATTTATATAATATAATGGAAAAGAAAGATACCTGTTCACAGCCCCTGGTACCTCAAACATCTACTTGACTTCCTAGCAGCCCAGATGAGTCTGTGCCAAACAAACAATATATCAACACTCCCCCTGTAAAACTAAAGTTCAAGAAGCAAAAGATTAACCTAAAGCCAGAGACTGCAGATCAGCCTTGCTATAAATCTCACTAGCCTTGAGTAGCTCGGTATTCTCAAACCAGATTATGGAGCATTTACTACTGGAAGAGCAGCTGAGCTGTCCTCATAGTCTACATTTGGTTATCCTGACATACTGTGTGAAGAAGCCATAGCCTCACCTAGGCAGTAGTGCCTTTGGTCTTAGGAGTGAGAGAGTTCAGGCAGAGAGCCAATAGCAGGACAACTGTGAGTAAGCTATACAGCAGGAGGCAGGAGAATGAGAAAAATAGAGAGCTCCCTACAGACAGCAAACTCCATGCCTTGCAGTGAGCTTTGTCCCCTGCATAGGCTCTGGTCTCCAGGGGATAAGCCATACACTCTGTTAAGCAGAGTTTCTCTAGTCAGTTTTCCCTCCATGTATATTTTTTCTCTTCAAAATGAATAATCTTTTATTTCATTGCTTTTCTGTTCCTAAAAATTGCTTTTGAATATTCTTTCGAAGTGAATCTCAAATTGCCTTAAGGAGTTTGACACTTCCTACTAATCGAAAAGAGCGACTTTCTGTGAAAGAAGACTTTCTGAAGGTATTTAAATTTCCAAACAGCTTCTTACCCCACAGTACCGCTCCTCATTGAAGATCTGTGGGGGGAGGGGAATTCCATTTTGAGGCTTTTTTTCGCCAGGGACATTCTCTCTCATCCATTTCCTGTTGTCTTCGTCACCTGCTATGTCCATTTGCTGAAAATCAATCTTGTTGGCTTCTAAAAAGCCCACTACTTCTTGTTGTTTCTTTTTGATCTGGTCAGGAAAGAGGAAAAACAGAATTCCTTCTTTAAAAAAGAAGTTGAGGTGGTTCTTTTTTTAGAAAGAAATCGCTGTTACAAGAAGATCTAATGCAAATATGTCAAGTTGGATCCACTACTCCAGTAGCCCCCAAACTTTTTGAAGCTGATATTCCACACTGGTGCTCAGCACCCAGAGCATTGCTATTTTGCTATTACTTCCTCCTCTCCCACCATACCAGCTTCTCTCTTTCCTCCCTGGAAGCAGTGATATTTCCATTTAAGAAATGAGGCTCAGCAGGAAGCCTCCTACTCTGTTCCCAGATCTGTCACTGTGGTGTGCAGATACCCAAGAGAATCCTGCCTGAAGCCAGTACAGGCCTGAGAATGTACATATTCTCCTCAATATGTAACACTCTCCTTTTCCCTCCTCATTATGTATGACATTTAGCCTTCTGTGAGCCACATACTTCTCTTTGTACCTGTTCTTTAACAGTAGGCGTAATTGTGAGTGAAAGCTCAATGAAAACCCAGTACTGCTTAACTTCTCTGCTAAGCATCAAGCTTGTAACCTAGCCTTTTACCCTGAAGATGCAATACTCACTATACTTCTCTCCTAAAGGGATGCCACTCCTAAGCAACGTTTAAAGAATCTCCCATCTTGTATACGTATACACTCATTTCCGGAGGTGAGCGGCTCCAGAGAGGAGCCTTCAGCACCGGAGCGAGGGGGAACCCCTCGTCCCGCAGGCCCAGTTCCGAGCGCCCAGAGCCACCGAGGGAGCCTCGAGCCCTCGCCAGGCCTTGCCCTGGGGCCGCAGCTCCGCTGAGCCCAGCTGGGACTCACAGGGGGCGGGGCCAGGAGGGACGGACCCGCCCCGGGGAGCGCGGGAGCGGCGCGTGGCGCGGCGGTGGGCGTCGGCAGCGCGAGCGGGATGGGGAGCGCTCGCCTCAGGGCCAGGGCCGGGGCCCGCTCTGGGAGCTCTGCTCTGGCTGCCCCGGCGGTGGCAGCGTCGGCACCAGACAGAGCCGGTGAGAGGGGAGGCTGCAGCGCGGAGCGCGGGGTGCAGAAAGTGCCTGCACTGGAGTCGTGAGGGGAGGGTGCGCCATGGGCAGGGTTGCACTGGGTGCCCTGGTAGAGGCCCTGCTGCAGCAGGGGCTGAGCTGCGGGGCACTGTCAGTAGCTGAAAGGTGTCAGGGAAGCTGAGAGGGAGCTGGGCTGTTTGCTCCGGGCCTGAGCTGTGCAGGGGCCACAGGCGCCCACCATAGCGCACACAGAAAAGGAAGAGGGCGGTAATCCAGGGAGCTAGCAGCTAGTTACAAAAAAAAAAGGAGGAAGAAAGAGGTGAGTGACCTGCTGTGATCAGTGCTGCTGCAGGCTCACCGTGAGTACTGGGTACAGTTCTAGGCCCCACCATTTAAGAACATGGAAGGCCCTTGAATGCATCCAGGAGGGCAACAAGGCTGGTGACAGGGCTGGAAGTCATGTCCAATGGGCAGCTCTCTCTCTACCTGTGAGCTGCTCCCTACAGCTCTTCCCAAGGAGGGGAAATGGAGAGGGAGGTGCTGATCTCTTCTCCCTGGGATCCACTGGGAGGACATGTGGGTATGGTTCAGAGCTGCGCCCGGGGAAGTTTAAACTAGACATTAGGAAGTCAAGGGATTTTCAGCATCAAAACCCCTTTCAAAGACACAAATCAGAAAGGTTACGGATGGAAAGAGTATTTATTTATAAAGAAAGTTATTTTATCTTGCTTTAGTTAATTTTAGTCTAGTTTAGATTATATTTTCTTTTTCTAAATCCCTCAGAGCTGATGCTCACAAGCATTAACACAATGCACATGCGTAGCCTGCAGCAGGCTGACTCATCCCTTTCATTCTGACAAAGGAAAGCCAGGGCAGGAGCGATGCCATGGTGGTGCAAGAGGAGCGCAAGAACCCGGCCAGAAAGGGCCAGGGAAGACCTGACTCGGGGTGGTGCTCAGTGCTACAGAGGACAGCAGCAAGTCCCGGGGCCACGCTGGGGCCACCTTGGGAATGCTGAACGCTGCCTCCCCCCGGATGCGGGGCACGAGGGCCACCTGCGTGGAGCACGAGCAGCTGCCTTTGGGCCACAATATCCCAAAGGAGCCCCATGAAGGGGCTGTGCTCGGCCGCGGAGGAGGCAAAAAACCCCGGGGACACTTGCTAGTCCACCCTGGGGGCAAAAAAGCCTTCCCTCCCCAGCTGCAGGACACAAGGGGCCACCTTCGTGGTGCATGAGCACCAGGGGATAACCCAGAGCACCAGGACCAGAGGAGCCCTGACAAGTGGTCATGCTCAGTGCTCAGAGGAAGGCAAAAAAACCCCGGGGACTGGTGCCAGTCTGCCCTGGGGGAAAATTCCTTCCTGACCCCAGTGCTGGCAGTCGGCTACTCCCTGAGCATGTGAGCAAGACCGGCTCGGGCTGGTTATGCCTCTAAGGGGACACTGGCTCTGCCTTTTCTGCCTCCGCCTGGAGCCATCTGAGGGGCTCCCAAGAACAGCAAAATGCCGCTGGCCTGATCAACCCTGGGGGAAAGAATCCTTGGAGCTCCAAAGCACTGGAGGAGGGCACTGGGCCATCTGTGGATCCTATTTCTTATGGCTACTGCCACTGTCTCCCCAGACGATGAGGGCAGCGAGCTCCCCAAAGACTGAAGCAGGGTATCCATCCATCAATGAGCTCTGAGCATGGCCCCTCCAGGAGCTGGAACTGCAGCAGAGAGCTTCTCGCAGCTTCGGGCAGTCTTCCCCCCTCTGCCCCTCCAAGTAATTCCACCAGTGCCTCAAGGACTTCCTCTTGGATGCCTTCAGGCTGCCAGCTCTGTCCTGGTGGCAAAGCCGGGCACTCTGGCAGTGGGACACAGGCGGACGCTGCCTTATACTGCCCAGAGTATTGTGATGCTGTGTTGGCAGATAGTGGCACTATAACACTGCGGTGATGGGCCCCCACAGTCCTGCCCACTGCAGCCCTGCTGCTGCTGCCCTTTTGCCCAGCATCCCTTGGAGAAAGGCCTTTGGGGAGCTGTCCAGAGGCAGTGCCTGTGCCCAGGAGGCACAGGGGGATGTCCCACCATGGTGGCCACACACTGGGCACCACTGCTTGGTGTCCCTGTAAATTAATCTCTATGTTCAGATGTGTCAATAAAGGCTTTTATACCATGTACAGTCATTTGACAGTGGTGATCCCAAAGGTGAAAGGAAAGGGGTTTTGGTTCCCTCTGCATGAACTTGGCAGAAATGTAGAGAGCATACAGAATTTAGTCACCATTCCTTATCAATATGCCAAATGGCATTTGCTACTGCGCTGCTTATGGTGAGGTCTTCTTCTTGGAAAGAAGAAGAATTTAAGAAATCTCTTCTGCCTTTGTTACACAGGGTGTTTAGATATTTGCTTGTGTTTATTAACATTCGTGTGACTAATTTGGGGGTTTACCTCTTGTATTATTACTTGAATGCGACGTTTCGCTGACTGCTGCCTAATTCTATGTTCTTGATAGCTCAATAAAGTGTTTTGATCCCAGTTTGGTTTAAACCATGTGGACTGAGCAGCTTTTCCCTTCAACACTCAGGAAAAACAAGTAACTGACCCAGTTGTGTAGAACAGTTTTAAAACCCTCAGCTAAGTATCACGTAAGAGTACTGTACAGAGGGCAGAGATTTAGAGATTGGCAACAAATCCCCATTACATTTGTTAGAATCCCTGAAATGCAGAATGACTGCTGTCTCTCTCCCACAGGCTTATTTCTTGAGTGGTCTATTGGGGGGGGAAGGGAAAGACAGTTTATTGGAGGTGTTGGTGTAGGCTGCAGAAGACAGCTCCAGCTGGGATCCTATCTGAAGTGAGGAAACTTCTGTGTCTGCCTGAGCAAACTGTTCTTTTAGGCAATACACCCATGTTTTTCACACACAGTAGTAGAAAATGCTACTGCCTCTGCCCAGTTCTGGTAGAAAGTGAGCTTAATCACACCAGACACCCAGACAGAACCAGTGAGAGGGGAGGCTGCAGCGCAGACCTTGGAGTGTAGAAAGTGCCTCCACGTGTGTCTTGAGGCAAGGGTGCACAATGGGAAAGGCTGCACTCGGTTTGCCCTGGTGGAGGTCCTTCTGCAGCAGGTGACTGAGCTGCAGGACACTGTCAGTAGGCTAAAAGATTCTAAGCCCAGTTAGAATTAAAGCTGGCAAGGGATGTGAAAGATAACAGCAAGGGCTTCTATAGGTATGCAGCAAACAAAAGACAGACGAGGGGTAACGTGAGCCCTCTCCAGGAGTTAACAGGAGAACTGGTTACCCTGGATTTGAAGGAGGCTGCGGTTCTCAATGACTCCTTTGCCTCTGTTCACCGGCAAATGCTCTGACCACAATGCCCAAGTCTTGGGAGGCAGATGCCTCTGTGAGAATGGAGGACCCTAGGCCCAGTGTAGGAGACCATCAGGTTCAAGATCATCTTAACCTCAATGTGCACAAGTCCGTGGAACCAGATGAAATCCATCCATGAGTCCTGGAGGAGCTGGCAAATGAAGTTGCTAAGCCACTGTCCATCATTTGAAAAATCATGGCAGTGAGATGAAGTTCCTGACAACTGCAAAAAGGGAAATATAACCCCCATTTTCAAGAAGGGGAACATAGAAGACCCGGGGAATTACATACCAGTCAGTCTTACCTCTGTGCCTGGCAAAATCTTGGAGCAGATTCTCCTGGAAGGCATGCTAAGGCACATGAAAATCAACAAGATGCTTGGTGACAGCCAGCATGGCTTCACTAAGGGGAAATCCTGCCTGACCGATTTGGTGGGCTGTAATGGGGCTACAGAACTGATGGATGAGGCAAAGCAGTTGACGTAATCTACGTGGACTTGTGCAAAGCGTTCAACACTGTCCTGCACGACATCCTTGTCTCTAAATTGGAGAGACGTCAATTTGATGGATGGACCACTCGGTGGATAAAGAACTGGCTGGATGGCCGCACATAAAGAGTTGTGATCAATGGCTCAGCATCCAGCTGGAGACCAGTAACGAGTGGTGTACCTCAGGGATCAGTGTTGGGACCGATCCTGTTCAACATCTTTGTCGCTGACATGGACAGTGGGATTGAGTGCACTCTAAGCAAGTTTGCCGATGACACCAAGCTGTGTGGTTCGGTTGATATGCTGGAGGGAAGGAATGCCATCCAGAGGGACCTTGACACGCTTGTGAGGTGGGCTGATGCCAACCTCATGAAGTTTAACCATGCCAAGTGCAAGGTCCTACACCTGGGTCAGAGCAATCCCAGACACAGATACAGGTTGGGCAGAGAAGAGATTCAGAGCAGCCCTGGTGTTGGTTGATGAGAAAATAAACATGAGCCCACTTCAGTGTGCGCTCGCAGCCCAGAAAGCCAACCGTATCCTGGGCTGCCTCAAAAGGAGTGTGACCAGCAGGTCGAAGGAGGTGATCCTACTCTGCTCTCGTGAGACCTCACCTGGAGTATTGTGTGCAGTTCTGGTGTCCTCAACATAAAAAGGACATGGAACTGTTGGAACAAGTCCAGAGAAGGGCCAAGAGGATGATCAGGGGACTGGAGCACCTCCCATATGAAGACAGGCTGAGAAAGTTGGGGCTGTTCAGCCTGGAGAAGGCTGCGTGGAGACCTCATAGCAGCCTTCCAGTATCTGAAGGGGCCCTACAAGGATGCTGGGGAGGGACTCTTCATTAGGGGCTGTAGTGATAGTACAAGGGGTAATGGGTTCAAAGTTAAAAGGGAAAGCTTAGATTATATATAAAGAAGAAGTTCTTTACTGTGAGGGTGG